GGGGGTGAGTGAGCACGTCTGGGGGGGGGGCGGGGGGGCGGGAGGGGAGGCCGGGCTGGGCTGTCCCGAGGGGCTGTGCCCCACCCCCACCGCTCTTGTCTCCCCTCCAGGGCTGGTGTCCTCGGAGAAGGCCAGCGCCTCCTACCTCCTGAGCCACGAAGGCGGGGGCCAGGTGGCGGTGGTGGCGGTCGGGGGGCCTCCGGAGGCTTTGGAGGCCCGCCCCGGGGCCTTCACCCTGCAGATCCTCAGCCGCAAGGGCTTCATCAAGACGGCGCTGCAGCATGGGTGAGCGGGGCGGGGAAGGGCCCTGTGGGGGCTGCAGCCGGGGCCCATTGGCCGAGGTAGTTTGAGACGGCTCCCGAGTCCCCTTGGTTTGGGGGGAGGGGTGGCAACTGGGCACGGGGTGGGGGCTGCTCCCTCCTTGCCTCAAGTGCCCCCCCCTGCCCCTCATTCTCAGGGCGGCGCTGGTCCCCGTCTTCTCCTTTGGAGAGAACGAACTCTTCAATCAGGTGTCGAACCCGGAGGGCTCCTTCCTCCGCACAGTGCAGGAGCGGCTGCAGAAGGCCGTGGGGCTCGCCCTGCCCCTCTTCCACGCCCGGGGGGTCTTCCAGTACAGCTTCGGCCTTCTGCCTTTCCGGAGGCCCATCCATACCGTGGGTAAGTGGCCCGAGTGCTGGCCCTTCCGGGGTGGTGGTGGGGGAAGGGTTTGCTGGTGGCTGGCTTCAGGCCCAGGGACGGCGGAGCTGCAACTCCCCTCCCCAGTTTCGCAACTGCCTGTGGTGGTGGTGGTGGTGGTGGTGGGACAGAAGCGGCTGTGGACTTTGGGACTCCCGGGGGGCGGGGGGGGGAGGCTTCTGTCTGGCTCAGTGGCCGCACACACAGCGTGGTTGCTCAGCCCTTGACCTTTGGGTGAAAGTGGAAATACTGGCCTTTTGCATGGTGGTGGGGGGGGGGGGGGGGGGGGGGGGGGGAGGATTCTGTCTGGCTCAGTGGCCGCACACACAGCGTGGTTGCTCAGCCCTTGACCTTTGGGTGAAAGTGGAAATACTGGCCTTTTGCATGGTGGTGCGGGGGGGGGGGCAGAGTAGGGGCAAAAAAGAGCAAGGATTTCCCCTGCACAGTGAGGCTCAGCCCCTCTTGAGCGCCCGGCAGAATGCACAGGGTGCTGCCTTTCCTCCTCCTCTGCCGGACAGCTCAGTCCGTCCGAAGGGTGTTGCCCACTCAGACTGGCAGCGGCACAAGGTCTTTCCGTTATGATCTCCCGCCTGGTCCTTTCGTCTGGAGAGGCCGCTGGGGGTTGAATCTGGGACCTTCCACATGCCAAGCAGAGGCCCTGCCACTGAGCCCCTACAGTTGGCAGCTTGCCTTTCCTGGCGGCACCTCCAGTGGATTCAACCAGGCCGTTGGGAGGGGTGAAAGAGCGAGAGCCGCTGGCCATCTGGGGAGGGGATGCTTGCCCCGTCAGACCAGCGGCCTGGTTCACTACGAGGAGCCTCATGCGGCTCAGGCACAGCCCTGACCTCCCGAACTGGCCACTGGGGTGGCTGGAGGTGAGAGGGGGCCCTGGAGGAGGAAGAGCCGTGCCCGCGAGTGCTGGTGGCGGCTGGAAAGGTGCCCTGTGGCAGTGCCCACTCTGCTTCTCTCCTGCAGTGGGGGCCCCGATCCTTGTGCCCAAGACCCCCCACCCATCTCCGGAAGCCATCGACCAGTTGCACAAGACCTACCTGGAGAAGCTCGTCCAGCTGTTTGAGGACCACAAAGTCCAGTTTGGTGTGCCTGAAAACAAGCATCTCAACCTGATCTAGAGGGCAACGATGACTCTGGGAAGGAGAGAGCCTCCTAAGAACCTTCAGGCGAATGGGGGCGGGCGGGTAGAATCCCTGCCCCTCTGCCGTCCTCACTGGGTGAACGAGGCCTCCTTCCCAGCAGCAGGGGCAGGGCCAAGCACACCCCTCCGCTCTCAAACGGGGGCCCAGGCATCTTGGGGGGGAGGTTGGGCTCGCAGCGCCTCGTGTCTCCTGGGGCGGGCCGGAGAGGGCAGAGTCACTGCTGCATCGGTGCCGGACTTTCAGATGCGGAGCACCTCTCTCCCCCCCCCCCCCTTTGCCAACCTTTTCAGTGCAATAAAGTGGAAAACCTTCCCGGCTGGCTGTGGGGTTCTCTTTGCAGGCCAGTCTCCCGGGCCCACACTGCCTCTGCCCCCTCTGCCTGTGTGTGTGCCCCCGGATCTCCTGTCTCTCCCGTGCGGCGTGGCGGAGAGGGGCGAGGGGGCTCTGCTCGCCCCCAGCTGGCCCAGGGCTGAGTGTGTGGCCTGGCCTCTCCTCTGCCTACCGGCTGTTGCGTAGCCGGTCCCAGGGGTCGCTGCAGGGCCAGAGACAGCTGACAACCGATCCTTCCCTCTCTCCCTGAGACGCCGAAGGCATTGGAGAGACACCAAGTAGGCCCCGGGTGAACTGCTCTTGCGCTGGCAGATGGCCCAACCAGGCCCTGGCTTTCGCTGCCGTGACTTTGGGCTGCACCTGGGGATTGCCCTGACTGCCCACGAGGCTGCTGTGCGATTAATTTGGCTTGGGGCTGGTATGGGAAAGGCACTCTTCACATGCTCCAAAGAGCTCTTTTGTTAATTCCCGTGAGGTAGAAGGTGCCTCCATGCCCCCCTTGGCGGCGGGGGGGGGGAGGAGGGGGAGCCCGTTGCTGCTGACTGCTCTGTCAGACGGACACCCAAACCTCTCTCTCGCTCTCTGGGTCATCGGTCTTTCCTGGACCCCCGCTCCTTTGTCCCTCCAGCGGCACCTGCCAAGCCCAGGGTTCTGTGTGGCGCAGGGTGACTCTTGCCAGTTTCATTTTTTAGAAGAAGAGGAGGAGATTGGATTTCTACCCCATGGCCCTTCACAACCCAAAGGAGCCTCAGAGCGGTTGACAAACTCCTTTCCCTCCCCCTCCCCTGTGAGGTGGGTGGGGCTGAGAGAGCTCTCCCGAGAACTGCCCTTGAGAGAACAGCTCTGAAAGAACTTGTGACTGACCCAAGATCACACCAACAGCTGCATGGGGAGGAGTGGGGGGAATCAAACCTGGTTCTCCCAGGTTAGAGTTCACACATTCCTAACCACCACACCAAAAAACAATGTGTACGTAAAAGCCCTGATGACAGAACAGAGGAGAATGACCAAGAGTGGAGCAAAGGAGATTGGAAGAGGATAATCAAGGCAATTTCCTTTCCATGGGTTTCCAGTGGTGACCTACTCTTCAGCCTTCGGAGTTACTTGGGTGTCCTGGTTAAGTGCAGGCGGACTCTAATCTGGGAGAACCGGGTTGGATTCCCCACTCCTCTACTTGCAGCTGCTGGATGACCTTGGGCAAGCCACAGTTCTCTCAGCCCCGCCTGCCTCACAGGGTGTCTGTTGTGGGGAGGGGAAGGGAAAGGAGTTAGGGTTAGCCGCTCTGAGACTCTGAGTGATGGGCGGGGTATGAATCCAATCTCCTTTTCCTCCTCTTCACCTGGGTCCCTCTCTTCTCTTCCTTAGCCAGGTGAGGAGCCAGAAACCGTGCGCGCGCACACACACACACCCGGCAGCCATCGCCACCTCCTCCCTGGTGGAAAATGCTCTGACTGATTTGACTTGCCAAGACTGATTGGCTGCCCAGCTGTGCAAAGAGCCAGCGCCGCCGGGACATGCGGATGGCTGGGAGGCTGAAAACAAGCTGGGGCGGCTGTTAAACAAGGTGGCTGTGAGCAGCAGCAGCAGCAAAGTGCCAGGTCAGCAGCACGGCTTTTCCCAGACTCCCTGTGAGGAGGAGGGAAGGTGTCAGCGCAGGGCCTCACGTTCCCAGGGAGAACAAACTGGACCTCAGCCCCAGAACCAGAGTCTGCCTGGAGGAAGAGGTAATCGGGTGTGAACAAGGGGGGGGGGGAGCCTGCTGGCATTCGTGGAGCTAAAAGGCTTTATGGTTTGGAGTTCCCCCCCCCCCCCCCCGATCATGTAATGGTTTTTAGCAAAGGCCCCCCGAGCATGTGGCGACAGGAGTGCGGGCTCCTTCTCTCAGACAGGCTTTTCGTTTAGGGCTGATCTCTTAGAACCGTCCTTATAGCCTGCTTTCAACATTAGAATGGTTGTATGAGGATCCTGTTAGGCCGCCCCGTGGCTTATGCTGCTTTGCTGCTCTGGGTGGGTTTTCCGGTGTTAATATTTTATCCTTTTTATGATTCGATCGTCGTCTGTTTCATAAGGCACCTTGAGCAAGTTCCCTGGGGGGGGGGTACAAGTTTTTCTCCCCCCCCCCGAAGGGTTGACCTGAGCACCAAGATGGCTCTGGGCCGGCCTGTAATGGGGGATGGAAATGGTGTGTGTGTGTTTGTTGTCTACTCTTTCCTCCTTGAGGAGTGGGTTCCTGACCTGCAGAGTGGAGAGAGACAGGCAGTTCTGTGGATGAGACTTTAAGAACATAAGAGAAAAGCCAATGTCGGATCAGGCCAGTGGCCCACCCAGTCCAGCACTCATTGTGTCACACAGTGGCCAAAAATACCAGGGGCCACCAGGAGGTCTAGCAGTGGGGCCTGGGCACCAGAAGCCCCCCCCACTGTTGCCCCCCCCAAGCTCCAAGAAGACAGAGCATCCCTTGCCCCAGACCGAGAGTTCCAATCTATACCTTGTGACTAATAGCCACCGATGGACCTCTGCTCTGTATGCTTATCAGATTCCCTCTTGAAGCCGTCCAGGCTTGTAGCCGCCGCCACCTCCTCCTGTGGCAGTGAATGCCGTGTGTTCATCACTCTTTGGGTGAAGAGGACCCTTAGGGACCTGCTAGCATTTGGGGACATCCACAAAATAGAGGGGTATCCCCAGGTGATGGTATTAAGGGGGATACTGTACTGAATAAGTAATTAAATTGTGGAGTTCCCTGCCTGTAGTATTCGTGATGGCCAGAATAGTAGATTGTTCTGAACTGGGGTTAAACAAACTAATGGGAGAGAGAGGTCCATCAGTAGTCACTAGCCATGGGTGACTGAAGGGGGGAGCCCTTTCTCCACAGACACAGTGTCCGTGTTCCCCCCCGTCCCCCCCCCATCCCAGTGCCCAGGAGACAGCAGCAGGGCAAGGCCAGGCCTCTGGGCACTTTTAATGCCCTCGCTTCACACGGCATTGCTTGACCCCCAGCCATCTCTCCCTGGACAGAAGCCGCAGACATTCTCACCTGGGCCGGGATGGGCAAGGGCCAGAACAGTGGTGAGCTGGCCATTAAATGAGGGGATGCCTCCTGGGCTACACAAGAGGAGGAGGTCCACGCAGGAGGACACGTTGCTGGCTGCAGCCCCCAGCACACAGGTGCCAGACCCAGGGACCGGTTTGCTTGAGCGGCTGAGTGGAGATCCCTATTCATCGCCACTAGCAACACTCCCCCCCCCCAGCAACAGACCTGCCCCACCCACTAGGGGAAGGCAAAGCGCTCGTGGGGGGGGGAGAGGGAGGAGAGCACCAACTGCTGTGTGCAGGGAGTGGTGGCCTGCACTCCTGGGCCAGACATCGGTGCCCCCGTGGGCTGGGCCTGGCTGCTGCTGTGGAGGGATACAGGCCGGTGGGCCCCTGCAGCCGGCCCGGCAGGACTCCCTCTCCCTCCGGACCGGCCCTCCCTCCCTGTTGGGATATTTTATAAAATTCAGCAGAGAATAAAAACAGCTTAGCAATGCCAGAGTTCAATAATCAGACCCAGAGTCCATGTGTGTTTAAAAATATAAACGTTTACTATAATTCTACCATAGGGAAGGGTAACTGGGAAGAAAAATAACAAACAGCTAAGTCAGCTACATCCTCTCTCTAGACTAGAAGAACTGTAATAGCTCCTCTCACATGCTTCTTCTCCAAGACGAACAAAGAGGGGAAGAGGCCATAAAATGCAAAGTCACTAACACCTTGCTCCCAATCAAACTCTCAGAACAGGGATGCTTTTTCGCGGGCTTGTAGATCTAAGCTAACATTGGCTAACACAAAGGCAGGTGATTTCCTGTGACAACAGAACAGACATTTAACCCCATACACACACATTGAGTGTTTTCAACATGCAAATACCCAACACTCCCCCTCCGGACCGGCCCTCCCTCCCGGGGTCAGCTGGCCACGGCTGGGCTCAGGCTAGTCCGCGTCTTCTCTTGTGGCCTGAGTGGGTTCTGGGTCCGTTCATTTAAAGGCCTGCAGGTGCCGGGGGGTGGGGGTGTTTGAGGACAGTGTTCCCTGGACGATATCATGCTTCACCCCTGAATTCCCCAGGGGTTTGGTTTTCTTTCCTAAATAAATTTTGAGCCCTCTTTACTGCAGAGATACAAGGTGAAAATTTGTGCAAGCGGCGGAGTGGCTGGGAGGAAAGGGGGGGGGGGGGGGCCAAGAAGGCCCTGCCCCTGGCCCCCCCCCCCCGTCTGCCCTCTGGGGCGGCTTCCCTTCTTGTCCGCTGCTGCTGCTTCTCCTGGGCGAGAGCAGGAAGGGAAACGTGTCATCCTGCCTACAGCTGTAGCCATGGGGGTGCGGGGGGGGGGAAGAGTGGAAGTCTCCACTTCTCTCCACTGGGTACCTCGCCTTCAGCCTTCCATCACAAACTGCCCGCCTCTTTTAAAAAACAAAAAAAACAAATAACACCCCCCCCCCGGCTCTTGTCCTCCCCCGCCCATTCTGAGCTTACGCCTAAAGGACTGAAGCGGCACACAGCTCAGGCCCCCCTGCCCCCTGGAAGCTCTCCGGCCGGGGGGGGGCGGGGGGGGAGAAACCGGTTTCTTCATATACCTCATTTGTACCCCTCCTTTCTCCCCAGTGGGGACCTAAAGCCACTGGCATCATTCCCCACTCCTCTGTTCACAACAGCCCTCTGAGGCAGGCTAGGCTGAGAGAGTGTGGCTGGCTCAAGGCCACCCAGCGAGCATCCACGGCAGATCCGGGATCTGAATGCGGGTCTCCGGGATCCGAGTCTGACACTCCAGTGTGGCTCTGCCCTAGAGACTGGCGCTGCGGCTGCAGACGGTGCCGGAGGAGGAGGAGGCTGAAGGGGGTGTGGTGCCTCCCCTGGGGCCAGCCCCACCACTTCTCCCAACACTGAAGCCGGGGCTCCAAAGAAACCTGAGCCAAGAATTATCCCGACTGAATGCCAAGAGGCTGCAAGTGCAGAGCTGGATGGGGCCCCCCAGGCCACCTAGTCCAGCCCCCTGCCCAGTGCAGGATCAGCCGACAGGATCCCTGACCCGTGTTTGTCGGGCCTCCAGCGAGGGGGAGCTCGCCAACTCCCTAGGCGGCTGATTCTACCATTGCACAACCCTTACTGTACCTTGCACAACTCTGATGTGTACAGAGAGCTTTCCCCATACTGTGTGTCTCCCTGCCTGGTATTTGGTGATAAATACTAGGTTGGAGGGAGTGATCAG